GGCAATGAATTAACTGTTTTGCATCAGTTTTGAAACTTAACACTGGTTAGAAATTGAGAGCGATCAGACATATTATTACAGAATGTTACAGAAAGTGGACTCCACAAACCGATGGAGTTTTATGTCATGTGACAATGTTAGAGGCCGTATTCTAATATAGAAATTCTATTTGGTTATTCTTTGATATTAAACTTTTTCCGAGTCAAAGAAATACATGAAGTTTGGTTGTTAGTGTTCACTGTCTAGTTTGACATTCAGAATAAATCAACAAGTTTTAAGTCTCTGGTGGGGCAAAAATCAATATGGCAAACATAATTATATTTACACAACTTTAATACAATTTGATGTTGCAAACACATCAGAATTTCAATCTAATACACAATTCAATAACACAATTTACCATTTCATACATACCAGGGACACGCCGTGTCGGAGTAAGATAGACCACATTACTCGTCGCTCATCTCTCACTTATAAACACCTAGCAAACACTTATGGCATATTGTAGCAAACAACTTGACAAAATCTACAAATCTATTTAGAAACGTCAGTCTGTATTGATTTCTGTTGGGATGTGGTATTGTTGGTGTTGTGGCTAGTTTAAATCTGACACTACGGAACGTTTGTATGTGTATTTTTGGTGCCATGATGAGATTAGTCACATTTATATATATAATCATGATATTATTTAACATGCGTACCAGAAACCAAACTTGTTACTGATTGTGATAAGAGATTGGCTCACGCATAACAGTCTGCCAACACAACAAGACACTTTGGATTATGATAGCATAGAACAAAATTTCATTCTCCTTTGTGTGTGTGTTACAAAAGCTGCATGTTAGTTGTTTGCATCTGATATGCACATGTGCATTCATTGAAATAGACAGGTAATGGTTGATTTGAGGCTCTGTGGTAACTGATATTGATATGTGACACTATCAAGGATGATTTAACGTTCACGTTTATGTTAGAAATTAAACTATTAAATCCTGAGGATCACCCTTATCCCTTTTTAGCACACTATCAGCTATATTCAAATTGCCTGTCGTCGGTCCATCCGTCGTTTGTCCTTAAACAATTTTTATAATCACTATCACTCAAGAAGTACTGATTTGATCTTTCTCAAATTTCATATGAAGGTTCCCCTTGTTCCTCTAGATCTTGTTGTAAATGTTTCATTTTGTGTCCGATCGGGAAAGCTAAAAGATGTCACAAGGGAGTCATCATAGATTTTGAGCATTCAAGATTTACGTCTCTTGTAAAATACATTTACTATTGACAAGACAACAAAGGCAACAGATAAGAGAAGCAACAGATAGGAGAAGCAACAAATAGGAGAAGCAACAGATAGGAGAAGCAACAGGAGAAGCAACAGATAAGAGAAGCAACAGATAGGAGAAGCAACAGATAAGAGAAAAGATGAGAGATAAGGAGACCAAACCAAACGTACAGAACTAATGAAGATTTTAAAACTATTTATCCTTCTGGAATCTCTTGTTAATAATGTTGATGAACTGTTAAAATCACCGGTGATTAGGCATTAAACCCTGGAATGCATTAAAAAGATACTCAAAGAGAATAAAGGAACAAAGCATTACAAATATTTTTAATGATTATAAATGTCAATGGATCAAATGTTAACTGATCAAATTAACTTGTTAACTGATCAAATTACTGTGTTTACTGATCAAATAAACTTGTTAACTGATCAAATTACTGTGTTAACTGATCAAATTAACTTGTTAACTGTACTGTGTTAACTGATCAAATTACTGTGTTAACTGATCAAATTTACTTGTTTACTGAACAAATTACTGTGTTAACTGATCAAATTACTGTTAACTGATCAAATTAACTTGTAAACTGATCAAATTACTGTGTTAACTGATCAAATTAACTTGTTAACTGATCAAATTACTGTGTTAACTGATCAAATTACTGTGTTAACTGATCAAATTACTGTTATATGATCACATTACTATGTTAACTGATCTGTTTATAATGTATTGAAGTCACAGGTAAACCATACTAAAATGACACTATAAGGATTTGTTTGAATGTCTCAAAATTGTAAAAATTGTTTTAGATATTTTTTTATTAATCTGCTAGACAAAGCCTTCGTAATATTGTAAAGTTTGCCTAAGGTTTGTTAGTGAGAATTAACTGTGTGAACTGTTCTCAAAAGCAGGTCTCCTTCTTCCAACTCCAGTATTGATCTATTGGCAGTCTAGAAATTTTACCAAACCAGTTCAAGGTTCTGCAAAGATTTCCTTCTCTAAAGTTAATCTCCCCTCTGTGTAGACATTGGAGCCACTCCAGCCTTTGATAAGGATTCTAATTTAACTGTTGACAACTTGGATATTGGTATCAACTTGAATTACCTCCAAGTCACGAAGGCATAGTTTTTAAGTTTCCAGATGTGTTCCATCCCTAAGCCTTTCATGCCACACACACTAATCCGTTTCTGTTACTTTTTGGCTTTCTTTGATAGCAAATTTCTGCTCTGGGGAGTAATTTGATCAGTGTAATTACTTCAACAGATTTGCGAATGAAGCCAGTATTACACTTCCTGTTTTAAACCTAGTATCATCTAGTTGGTGATGACAACTGAAAGCCATGTCAGGTGATGACAACTGAAAGCCATGTCAGGTGATAACACCAGATAGCCATGTCAGGTGATGACAAGAGATGGCCATGTCAGGTGATGACAACATATAGCCATGTCAGGTGATGACACCAGATAGCCATGTCAGGTGATGACAACAGATAACAATGTCAGGTGATGACACCAGATAGCCATGTCAGGTGATGACAACTGAAAGCCATGTCAGGTGATAACACCAGATAGCCATGTCATATGATATAACAGGTGTGCCATGTCAGGTGATGACAACTGAAAGCCATGTCAGGTGATAACACCAGATAGCCATGTCAGGTGATGACACCAGATAGCCATGTCAGGTGATGACAACATAGATCCATGTCAGGTGATGACAACATGTTACCTCGTTAGGCAAAAACTTGTATGGCCAATTTTGTCCTGTTCAGATCAGCTTCAATGAAGTATTTCCTGAATCAATAAAATTCAATGCACTTTTATGATTTTTTTCTTTGACTTTTTGGTGTTTTCAGTTTCCAGTGAGGAAGATGTTCTGTGATGTAGACTGTTCGGCAGATTTTGGAAATTCCTGTTAGGTTATCTGTCGTATCAGCACTAAATGTCTTCTGTGACTGTGATGTCGTATCAGCACTAAATGTCTGTTGTGACTGTGATGTCGTATCAGCACTAAATGTCTTCTGTGACTGTGATGAGGGACAGCTGTACATTGGACTCACCAGTGATTTCAACATTTTATCACTGTTCATGGCTAAGTAAAATAGACCATGTTCAAATTACAAAATCATCTATTGGTAAAATGGTTTTCTACCACAATACGCTGTGTTATTCCACTCTCAGATCATTGTATAAACACGCAGACTGTTAGATAAATATGAGTTATATACCATGCGTAGTATAAGACCTTCAAGAGTTTTGATTGGTCAAGAAGATGAACTTTGATCGGAACGACTTTTTCCACACGCTTTTTGCCACATGCTGTTTTGTTTACGTCGTTTGCTATCAACATCTGACAAATGTTGGTGACTTTGTGAGGTTATGCGGAAAAGGGGGTTATTAAGGCAATATTAAAAAAAGATGATACTTAAAGATTTGATGGCTAGTTTCAGGCAAAATTGCTACAGACGCTCGATATCGTTTCGACGTCACACCGTCGCGTGTCCAGGTCGTGAAACCAAAACAAGATCTGTCACAGTGTCGGAAAATATTTCGTTCTCCCAACGCCCCGTTATCGCTATTTGGACGGCCTGACTATGGCTGAACTTTCACTATAAGCGTCAACCATAGAACCGTCAAGAAGAAACGTAGGCCTATGGTTTTGGACATTGACAGCGATGAGTTCGTCTTCTACGATATGCTTACACGCATAAGTCCGTACATGGTTAATTTATATAAATTAATGCAATACTGCTACTCTCAATATTTAAAGTCGTTTATCTATTATACTTTTTCATGAAGTTGTTGCCGAAACATTAATTTTGACAATTATTATGTAAAAAAAGAAGTCGTTTTTGAGTATTTTAAATGAGTGACTTTTTCATATGGGTCATATCACTACGCCAGCCTTGTCAACAAACACATGTGTGTATGTTATTTCCGACTGATCATGAGATTGTGGTAGAAACATATCACACGACTCGTGGTTGTTGAGTATGGTATTTATTTCACTCTCGTTAGTTAATTTTCAAAAGTTACAAAAGACACAAGCTTTTTTTCAAAAGTTACAGAAAGACACTCGCTAAAGCTCGTGTCTTTTGTAACTTTTGAAAATTAACTAACTCGAGTGAAATAAATACCATATTCAACAACCACTCGTTGTGTAACCTCTATGTACTTCACAAACATTCGCTATTGAATCCTATACATTTCAGGGTATTTAGATATAAATTGCACTAAGATTGGTAAAGACAGGATTAATGTAGAAGACTAAAAAAGGGAATTGTTTCATGATGAGGAAGTTTGCTGTGTAATATATATATTATGCTCAGTGATAAGTCCACCCCATTTTACACAGATTGTAATAGTGATAAACATGTGTTTAGTAATATGCCTACCTCTTGTTAAACAGGTTTAATAGGTAAGGATCATCCCTAGAAATAAGTCATCCCTGATTATGGGGTCAAAATTTAAATAAATTCCAGGCTACTATTTTCTAAGGACCAGACAGCAAGGGCATATCACAAATGTAACACGATAATGATTGTTGAGTTAACAGTTTCTGTCAGGACATAGAAAAGTGTAGTCTTACAGAAACAAACTAAGTGAACTGAAGAAACAACTTTGAAATTATTTTTGCACCACACAAATCAAATTCATTCAAATATCCCATTATTTTTTTCAACGAATTTCTGGATTTAACAGAGAAACCAATTTATTTCAGAGAAAGGTCCCCCAGGGAAGAGATTGCACGGGATAGAGCCGCTTGGGTTTTATGTTAAGAAGGGGAAGGTTGACGGAGCAGTAGACAGACCACAAGGTACCACAAGCATGGCTTTGACCTCTTACATGCATGACACACCAATATTGAGGGCATGCTTAGCACCAAACAGTAGGCTGCAACGAAGCATGTATAATAACATATCAATGGTTCTATAGTAACTTGTCTTTGGGTCTATAGTAACTTGTCTTTGGGTCTAAAGTAACATGTCTTTGGGTATATAGTAACATGTCTTTGGGTATAAAGTAACATCTCTGGATATATAGTAACATGTCTTTGTGTATAAAGTAACATGTCTTTGGGTATAAAGTAACCTTTCTTTGGGTCTAAAGTAACATGTCTTTGGGTATAAAGTAACATGTCTTTGGGTATAAAGTAATATCTCTTTGGGTATAAAGTAATATGTCTTTGGGTATAAAGTAACATGTCTTTGGGTATATAGTAACATATCTTTGGGTCTAAAGTAACATGTCTTTGGGTCTATAGTAACATGTCTTTGGATATAAAGTAACATGTCTTTGGGTCTATAGTAGCATGTCTTTGGGTATAAAGTAACATGTCTTTGGGTCTATAGTAACATGTCTTTGGGTATATAGTAACATGTCTTTGGGGTAGGAGAATTCTTACACCAATAGGGAGAATAAATATAATAAAGTTTATCCTAATTTCTCAATTAAATCACTTATTTATCGCTTTACCAAATCCTGATAATACATTTGTCAAAGAGATATAAATACAGAAATATATAACTTCCTCTGGAATAGTAAGATTGATAAAATTAAAAGAGATGTAATTATTAAAAACTTTTCTGTAGTGGTCTCAAAATTATTCATATTAAATCATTTATAGACTCACTAAAACTAACTTGGATTAGAAGATTACTCTCAACAACAGGAACATGGCAAATTATTTTTAGTTCAGCTATTGATAAAAAAACTTCTTGTAAACTGTGGATCAGACTATATTTCCTTTTGTCATAATAATTGTAAAAAATCTTTTCTGGTGAGATGACTTTCTTGCATGGAAAAATCTTACTTTTTTCGAGGAAAAATATCCAGATTCAAAACAGATCTCTGACATGCCTATATGGTTTAACGAAAAAATCAAAATAGATAATAATAATAGTGTTTTTTATAAAGATTGGTATAGGAAAGGAGTTGTAGTAGTTAATGACTTAATAAAGGGTAACAACAACTTCTACAGTTTTTTTGAATTAAGAGAAACATATGGTGTTAGAGCAAATTTCTTACAATATCTTGGAATTGTTACAGCTATAAAGGAGCTAATTGCAGTCGGTGTTACTTGACCCATCCAAAAATAGACTATCGTTTTATATACATAATTATTCCAAGAAAATTACAAATTTTTGCTAAAAAGCAGAAAGGTACAAAAGATTTTTATAATGTGCTTAGTAAAAATGATATAAAATACAAGTGGAACAAAAAAATGGGATGAACAATTTGAATTTGATGAAGGTGATTGGAAAATGATTTTTAAACTCCCTTTTTCTGTAACAAAAAATATGAAATTGCAATGGTTCCAATTTGGGGTTAATCACCATATTCTAACAACAAATTCATATTTATTTAAAGTTGGGTTAGTAGACAGTCCTTATTGTAACATTTGTAAAAACAGAAATTGAAACGATAGAGCATACGCTATGGAACTGTGAAAAAGTTCAAATCTTACTTGTAAACTTAGAAAATTTGTTGAATTCACTATTCATTCCATTTGAATTTAATAAGAAATCTTTTCTTTTTGGTACATATCGTCAGAATGGAATAAACAGAAAAGTGGAAAATATAATCATCTTTACAATAAAACAATATATCTACAAAGCAAGGTGCCTCAAGAACGAACTCTGCATTATTGCCCTGAAAAATACACTAAAAGATACATATACATGTACAACTCAAAAATACATTGCTAGAAGTAAGGGAGAAAGCTACTTAAACCAGTTTCAAAGAAAATGGGCCAAATGGCAAAACCTTTTTTGAAACACCCAAACTTGAAATTACGACTGATTTACCATAAGTAACTTATCAGTTTATAAATATAATTGTTATATTGAGTAAATGTAAATATTGATTACGCTCACACTGACAGCTCTTACAGAGAAATTCAAAATGTAATACAAATTTTCAACAATCCTACCTTTCCTTTCTGATAATTGTATTGATGTTTGTATGACAATGAATGAGTGTGTGTCTGTATATATATGTTTGTGTTATGTCATGTTATGTATATATATTGTAACTGTATGGGTCAAAGAAGTAATATAGACGGTAAAATTCCATAAAACACTGGATCCTAATGGAGGTATGTCCGTAGGATACGAATTACTTAAAAATATTATATGGGGCAAAGAAGTAATTTAGGTTGTTAAACTTTCGCTCGTTTTCCTTCCAGGGGGCATTTGACCTAATGATGCATTACTGCACAGTTGGTCTGCTATCTTGCCTGCCTGCTGCTTCATGTCAGCTTGTGTGACCAACAGCCGTTGTCAGATTAATTTTGCAGATTTATACAGTATCTCAGCCATTTCATCTACTTATTCCTCCTGCACTCACTTATTTGATAATTACTTGCATAATTCCTGCAAACCAAAAGAGGCACATGCATTATTCCTGCAAACCATAAGAGGCGACTAAGTGTGGACCCCCTGCTGCGACTGTTAGATCCATCCCAGTATTGAGAGGCGACTGATGAGACATTCCATAGCAAATTGGAGATTTTTCACATTTACCGGGCCAGATTTCCACATGCACATGTTCCACGTTTTTGATATCTCTCATTGACTCACTTTATATGATAGTGCATCTTGCGCAAGAATAGGTCCTCTACATCAGCATTCCTTGTCTGTGATGCTCTCAGCTTAATTGCTGCCTTTGGCTGTCTTTAGCCGAGGGGACTATTGGTTTTATATAATAGCTATATTTTCAATTATAGTATGTCAGTTATATCTTCTTGTAATATGATGTATATGTACATGTAACTGTTCTATTTCACTGTATTTTGAAAAAGGAGCGGATCGCTCCGAAAGTTTGACAACCTAAACTTGTCCACACTGTTGGAATTACTTCTTTGCCCCATATTGTAACCATATTGTATACTAATGTAAAAATTTGAAAAAAAAAAAACCATGTCTTTCGGGGTATAGTAACATGTCTTCGGGTCCAAAAAACATGTCTAAACTTTAGAGTAGCATGTTATAACTTAAGTAACAGGTAAACAAGTCTATAGTATATGTGTAGAGTCATATTCTGTAACTACAGAGTAACGTGTCTATAACTAACAAGCGATGTGTCTAACTGTAATGACATGTATATAGATATATTAACATATCTACAACTGTAGTAACATAGGTGTAACTTAAGTAAAAGATCTATATATATATATATATATATTGTAATATGTCTATAATTTTATAGTAACTGGTTTGTTACTGTTGTAATGTGTCTGTAATTCCATACTTGTCTACAGCTACAAGTCCTGTCTATACATAAGTAATATGTTTACCTTTCTATAGCGACATTGATACTATAGGGGCATGTCTATAAGCAGTAGCCACATTCAACTGACCTAACACTTGTTTGACAAAGACATTTTTCAGATTCCTGCACATAGAGATATTATATATGAGTTTTGCTGTTTCCAGAACACTCAGTGCTTTAAATATTTATGTCTGCTTATGACCGTGTTTGCTTCCTTTCTGTTTTGAACTGTGTAAATCTTGACTTTTCGTGTTCTACATAGTTTCTACACAAAATGCCATGCTGAACACTTGTTATGTTCTTAACATCTACTTTGTGTACAATACATGTACAATAGATGATACATTCCATGTTTTAGACATCTACTGTCTGTACAACACAATAGATGATACATTCCATGTTTAAGACATCTACTGTCTGTACAACACAATAGATTATACATTCCATGTTTTAGACATCTACTTTATGTACAACACAATAAATGATACATTCCATGTTATATACTGTGTTTTCAATACAAAGTGTTATCATAGTTCTTGTTCACACCTAAGGTTTGATCATAGATCTTATTAACATTTTAACTCATTAACCTAGCCTACTCCTAAAGTGTTATCATATATTCCTCATTTAAATTGTTTTCATGGATCTCTTTCACATCTAGAGTGCAGTCAAGATCTTGCTCACATATAAAGGGTTATCATAAATCTAATGCTCACATTTAAAGGGAATGATCATAAGCTTAGCTTGCATCTCATGTGAGATCAAAAAGTAAGATCAAGCTTACCATTAAAATGAATGATCACAGACCAAGATCACAACTTAATGATAAACCTAGACAATCTAGCATGAGATATTACCAGTGATGATCTGTAATACTGCTGAATTATGTGACGTTCCCACAAGGCCTACATTAGATTTACTGGATCAAGTGTGAACAAATTGGCATCATTAGGGGAAATAATGAGAGACAATTACCGCCTACCGATTTGTAATACATAGCCTATCAGAAGGTTTGGAGTAAGGTGTAAAAATGCATACAAAATAAGCTGTCTTCTTGTACAGAAAATCAAGGGAAGATTTGTACTTACGAAGGGATTCAAGTCACTGATTTTTCTTCTCACATAAATGAACTGCCGCAATAATATATTCCACAGAGACGAAGGAGACTTCAGATCAGGAAAAGCAATTACATGTGTGATGCAAGCGGAAGCCCCTATCATGTTAAACTGTAATGTCTAAGTGTCCTCAGTCAGACTGCAGGCCTGTAAGGCACTCTCTAATTACATACATGTAATCAGGACAGAATAAAACAGACCTTTCCAATATCAGAACCTGTAATAATGAGACACCCATTTCGGCTCTAGGGTAGAAGGCCAGAGAGCTGATATTGGTCCAGGCCCGTTACAGGGTGTGATGTCACAGAGAAAAGTTATGTGTTCTCTTCGTTACATACTAAATAATGATAACTTAATAAATAGAGTTAGTAAAGGCAAAGTTTGTTTTGAATACAAACAGGAATTGAAAACTTCTATTGCAAGCTTTCAA